AGAACCACAGACCATGCTTGTCGTTGTGGACGACGCCAGGAAAGGCCGGGTTGTGCCGCAGGCGGCTGTGGATGTCGCGTGAAATATTCTCGTGCTGCTTACGCTTGCTGACCACATCAGCGAAAGTGCCGATGATGAGGACGGGTGCGCCCTTGGCGTGGAGGTGGAGGGAGGAGAGCCAGTGCTCCATAAACTCCCACGCCTCATCTCGCTTGCTCTCGTCTTGGTGCAGCAGGTCCTCCATCGAGAACACCAGCAGGTACACCGCGTACCTGGTGTGTGGATGATTGGGTGGGGTGAGGTGAGGAGGGAAGGGGAGGTAGTGGGGTGAGGAGGGTGTGGAGGAGGGTTGAAAGGGAGTGACGTGGACAGCACGCAGCGCGTGCACACATACACACATACACACGCACGCACACACAGACACACACACACACACATTTACTCACACACACACACACACATTTACTCACACACACACACACACACACACACACACACACACACACACACACACACACACACACACACACACACACACACACACACACGGGCCTACAGCGACTCACTTGGTGAGGAAGAAAGGGTGGAAGAGATAGAAGGTGGACTGGCCGCCCAGGTCAAACACCTTGAAAGTGACTCGCGATTTGCCCTCGCCCATGACAGCGTCGACGTTGAACTCCTTGATTGCTTTCTCCATGGCCTCAGCGGAGACACTGGGGCGAGGACCGTTAGCGGATGTTGTAACTGATGCGCTGTGCTGCTGCTGCTGTTGTTGAGACTGCTTCGGCTTGGGAGATGACGATGACGAGAAGTGGTGCTCGTCACCCTGCGTGGAGGTGGATGTTGGCTGTGTCTTCTTTGGCACGGATGACTGTGAAAAGTGCTGTGTGCTCTCGTTGGTGTCTTCAGCATCAATGTCTTCACCCACCACCAGTTGCTGCTGTTGTGTGATTCGTTGTTGATGCGCCTCCATCGCCGCTGTCATCACCTCCTTCATTGCTGCATCCATCCCCGAAGTCCGTGCAAGCGCAGTGCCCAGCAGAGTGCGCATGTACTCGCTCAGACCGCCCGCAAGGTGCTAATGTGATGCGATGGGATGCAGAGATTGGTGTGAGATTCACATGGAACAAGAGTGGTTGCCTGCAGGCAAGCGAAAAGTCACCATCGCTTCACACACATACACTGTCCCACACTATCAACACACACACACGCACACACACGCACACACACACACACACACACACACACACACACACACACACACACACACACACACACACACACACACACACCTGCCAGTTGAAGACGTCAATGGATTCGACGATGACAGACAGATCCATGCTGTCGGCGCCAAACGTAGACGGCTCGTCCTTGTTGAACTCATCTCCCATGAGGGAGTGCAGGGTGGTGGTCTTGCCAGCACGCCCCTCGCCAACCAGCATCAGCTTGGCACGCCCTGCCATCTGCGTGTCTGAATGTTGTGCAATCTGGTGCATCGCCGCCATCACCTCGGCTTTGCGCTCCTGTTGAGCCTGCGAACGGCGGTGGGCATGACGGAAGATGGCCGATGAGATGAAGAAAAGCAAGTATGCGAGGAGTGGCACTGGGGTTATGGTTCGCATTGCTGGGCACTCACATCAGCAGGACCGTCGTGGGCTGGAGCTGCTGGGTCGGCAGGAGGTTCCATCGCAGCCTGTATCGATGGAGATCGAGTCGAGAAAAGGTGTGTGAACATTGAAGTTGTGGGAAGGAAGCGGAGACAAGCGACGCAGCATGAATGGCAGAGATAGACGGGCGCACGATTGTGGCAACAGCAATATGCAAGGTGTGCGCACCTGTGGATCAGATAGAATGGCAACGACGGCGTCGTGTCCTTCATCGCGTGCCAAATCCAGCGGCGTCATGCCGGTGCCCTGGAGTTGGACCATAGCAGGGACACGCGCACGTCAGATGGTCATCGTTGCGACAAGGGGCAGGGCGAAACCAGGGCAGGCCGACCACAGTAAGCACACATTAAATTTCGTACGGGGTGCTTGACGGTTGGATCAGCGCCGGAGTGGAGAAGACAGCGGACGACATCGGGGTGATTTTTGAAGCTGGCGACGTGCAGTGGGGTCCACCCCTACCCAGCAACCAAGCACAAGCAAGTGGCAATGGGCTGACGAAGGAAAAGCAAGGCGAGCAGTAGTACGTTGACAAGGGTATGTGCTAAGCGGTGACAAGTGACTGTGCAGCGCATACATTGTTCGTCGGCCGATTGACGTCGGCTCCCTTCTCAACAAGGAACCGCGCAACCGCCCCATGTCCGTTGCGGCCCGCAATCCACAGCGGCGTCCAACCCTGTCACACACACCACACAAGCATTCATCACATGAAACACACGAGGTACAACACAACACAGCAAGCAGGCCAACACACAAGCCATCAACCACGACGAAGTGAGTACACACCGGGAACTTCCTCATCTCTGTATGTACAATTGCTTGCACGCCATTCTAACCCACATGCTACCAGTGTGCATCAACCACCACACCCCTTCCACACACTCACACCAAAGGGCTCCACAGAGCACCAGGCACACCACAAACTGCCACAGCCACAGCAACAACACCATTATCACCACAAAGCCACACGGACAAGTACATCAATGCAACAGGAGGCCGTATCAAAACAACGTACAAATTCTTTGTCTGCCTGGTTGACGTCGGCTCCCTTCTCAACAAGGAACCGCGCAACCGCCTCGTGGCCTTTCTGACTCGCAACGTACAGCGGTGTGAAGCCCTGTCACAACACGTCAACACACGCACACACATACATTCGAAGCACACCAAAACAAGCAGTGTGACACCACAAACCATCACCCACAACAAAGTGAGGCAGTGAGTACAAACCGAGCGAGAAAACCTTCCTCATCCCTCTATGCATGAGTGCTTTGCATGCCATTCTCCTCCCACCCACATCAAGGCGCTTCAAAGTGCATCAGGCAAACCACAAATTGTGACAACCACAGCAAAAGCAGTATCACCACAAACACATGCAACGTACGTTCTTGTGTGCCTGGTTGACATCGGCTCCCTTCTCAACAAGTAATCGTGCAACTGCCTCGTGACCGTTCTGACTCGCAATCCACAGCGGTGTCCAACCCTGTCACGCACACCAAACACCAAACACGCACATTCATCACATCACACAACACAGCAAGCAGGCAGACACCACAAACCATCAACCACGACAACGTGAGGCACAGTGAGTGCACACCGGGAACTTCCTCATCTCTGTATGTACAATTGCTCGCATGCCATTCTAACCCACATGCTACCAGTGTTTGCAGGCCATCACCACAAACCACACATTGCCCAGACCACAAACTATGTCAACCACAGCAACAACGACAACAACACAAACATGGGTGAGCACACCACCAGCAACATGTGACTGTCACAACGCACATCGTTGTCTGCCTGGTTGACGTCGGCGCCCTTCTCCACAAGGAACCGCGCAACTGCCTCGTGACCATAGAAGCCTGCAATCCACAGCGGTGTGAAGCCCTGTGACACACATCAAACACATAGCAAATACACGTCATCCAATCAGGGCACACAGCGAAGCAAGGCACCCCGCCGTAGTGCGTAGGAACAGGGATGCAAGCATACATGCACAACACCGTGAGGTCAACACGCAAACACTTATTCTCAGACCCAGACCTGAATGCCAAAGTCACACGCGACATGTGATCAAATGCTATTCATCAGCACTTGACAAGACCTCCAGAAACAAGATAGTAGCAAAGCGGAGACCAACCACAACAGGTCACAAGTTGAGACATTGGGAACTCACTTCTTTGTCAGTGTTGTTGACGTGCGCTCCCTTCTCAAGAAGAAACCGTACAACCGCCTCGTGGCCGTTGCGACTAGCCCAGTACAGCGCAGTACCGTCCTGCACAATGGCGAGTATGAAGCGATTGAAGTGAGGGCAGTTGTCTTCGTCATCAAGGCATGCATAGATATTCGCACAAGCAGTTGTGAACGAGTCGTAGATAAGGGCCAGCGAACTCACGCATTCGCTGTCCTTCTCGTCGTCCACATGTCGGTTTGCTGGAGCGAACTCTGCCACCAGCGTCTCGACGCACTCCAGGTCTCCTGTCGCGCTCGCATCGATCAACGACGTTATGCCATCAAAGCTAATCGGCACCCCAATCGAAGGTCCGTCAACAGCATAACCGGCTTCTTCGGCTTCACGGCTTGTCGTGCCTCCCATCATGTGTGTGTGTGTTTGAAGAGCCGTCAGTCAGTGTGCAGTTTTGCTTGCTCGATCGCTCTCCTTTGTTTTTTCTCATGTGTTACCTTCTTGCGGGTTTTGTTCTGCCTGCAAGCAACTCACGAACCAACCATGTGACAAGTCTGAAGTATGGCTTCATGCAACTCGACCACAAGCAAGGCACCTTAGACGAAGTCCCTGAGGTGCTCATCTGCCAGAGCAACGGCACATTTGCGGCCCCCTTCCGACTCTCTTCCAGGCCAACAGTCGCGTGCGCACGGTGAACGGCAACCTGCAGGTTGCTCGTGCTGGAGCAGAGCAAGGACGCGTTCCTTGTATCGTTTCAGACGACTTGCTCAACCGCTCTCATCGTTCACTTGCCCTGTCTTGTCTGCACAGCTCCTCAGCAAGCAGCTGACAGACCCACAGTCATCACGCGTCTCATGTCTTCATTGTTTACAAACGCCAAACGCAACCCACAGAGTTAAACAAGCACATCCATCCATCAATCAACCAGCAGAGAGAAGAAATCAAACACCCCCCCAACACGCAGGGACAAAATGAAAAGGATGTAACAGTCGATTCAGTCAATCAGCAAGGTACAGACACACAGACACACAGACACACAGACACACACAGACACACACGCACGACAGAACTACATGGGGGCGATGCGGTGCGCGTCCTTGACCTTCCACGTCATGACGTGCGACTTGGTCTTGAACTGGTTACGGGGCTGCGAGAACATCTCAGCAAACTTGCGCACGCGGCCAATGGCAATCAGGTTTCGCGCCTCCTCCTCCTCTTGCAGTCGCTGCTTCTCCAGCTCGGCCTGCCGCTTCTCCTCGTCCTCCAGATACTCCTCCAAGTCCTTGCTTGCGTCAGGGCGCGACATGAGCGCGCGGGCCTCGCGCTCCTCCCTGTTCCGCTCCCACTCCTTGCGCCGCTGCATCTCGGCGTCCTCCTTCTTGTCCAGCTCAATCATGAGCATGTGGCGCTCAGAGGCAGGCTTCCTCTCCACCTCCCGCACCGCCTGCGCGTGCCGCTCATCAAACTGCTTCCGTCGCTCCATCTCCTTTCGCTCCAGTTCCATCAGCCGTCGAAGTTCCTGCGACTGCAGCTCCTTGTCCACCGCAAACTGCGACGCGCGCCTCTCCCTGGCCGCATCGTCACTCGACGGTGTGGTACTCGTTGCCGTTGCTGCAAACCGAACCTGCTTCCGCTGGCTTGGCCCATCGCCCGGCTGGGTTGATGGCGGTGGCGCCTGCGCTTGCTGCTTCTGTTGCTGCTGCTGTTGCCTGTGCTTCTGCAGCCTCTCCTGCTCTGCCTGCTGCTGCTGCTGCACGTCCTGCTGCGGGGTTGCGGCGCGTGGTGTCGATGACGGCTCGGAGCCAAAGAGGGCGGCTGCCTGCTCCTCAATAAATCGCGCCTGGGCCGCAATCGCCTCTGCCGCCGTCATGCTGCCGCCGCTCTGCTGGCCCTTGCGCTGCTGCTGCGGCGACATGGGCGTGGGCGTGGCACTGCCGGCGTTGTCCGCTGGCGTGGGGGTTGTGGAGCCACGGCCATCACGCTTGCTGGGCGTGGTGTGCTGCTTCTGCACGCCCTTAGCAACGTCTGGTGGGAGGAACGACGGGATGTCGGAAATGCCTGCGGAGAGGGTCGAGTTGGCGTGGCGCTTATGCCGCAGCTCGTACGACGTCTGTTGCGCAGCGGCACGTGTTGGAGTGAGTTGGGAGTATTGAGAGTGGGGATGGATGAGAGGCAGGAGAACAACGGTAGTAAAGACAAGGTGAGTGTGACAGAGAAGATGAAGACAAGAAGCAAATGCACGAGTAGTCACTTGGAGTACAACGCACCTACTACAACTACTACCACACACAGACACACAGACACACAGACACACAGACACACAGACACACACACACCAGCTGCTGTTGTGGCGGCTTGTCTGGGAGCGGCTGTGAGGAGAAGGAAGCCGGCATGGCTGTTGACGGCGTTTGCTGCTGGGATTGCGACGACGCCTGCTGCTGTTGTTGCTGTTGTTGCTGTTGTTGGTTCTGTGTTTGGTGTTGTTGAGTGGGGCGACGCGGCTGCTGCGGTGTCTGCGGTGCCCGCTGTTGCTGTGAGTGGTACTGGTACGACTGCGTGGACGCCTGGGACGGCGCCAGGCTCGATTGCCGCTGCATTGCCTGCCCGCGCTCCGTGCTGTCACAGATGGTGGCATGCATGCAGACGGCAACACGTGAGGTGTATTGTGACAGGCAGAGATGGCAACAGGTGCAGTAACACACGTTGTGACAGCCAAACACACAAACAGGGAAGACCAGAGCCACCAACAACCAACGTGCGACATCCCCTCCCCCGCCCGAAATACACACCTGGCCTTGTCTGCGCTGCCCCTGCGCCCGCGTCGGGCCGCCGCACCGCCGGCAGAGGAGTCCGTGACATCACCAGGTGTGGTGGTCCCACGGTCCTTTTCCGTCGACGTGGTTGTGTAGTCTTCATCGCTGGAGGACCGGCGCCTGTCCTTGCGGCTCTTCCTGCTCCTGCTGCTCTTGCTGCCGCTCTTGCTGCTGCCCTTGTCCTTCATTCGCCGCCGGGAGGAGCGCTCTTCCCCGCGTCGAAACGCCTCGGCCTGGCGCATGTACATCTCCTGCTCGGCCGCGTGCTGTGCGCTCTGCTTGTAGAAGGACATGGTCTTCTCTGCGGCCCGCAGCTCCGCCTGCATGGCCTCCGTCTCCGCCTTGAGCAGCCGCAGATGCGCCTCCGCAGCCCTGTGGCATTGGGAAACGAACATAGTTTGGGGAAGAGGTTAGGACGGGTGAGGAGAGGTGGCAGCTTGCTTGCTTCGACACGGCAATTGAGATGGCGATGCATTTGGGAAGGACAAAGGAGCAACATATGAACAGTAGACACAGGCACACAGGCAGTGAGACAGACAGACAGACAGTGAGACAGACATAGACACGCACACAGACACACACATACATACATACACACACAGCCACGCACACATACATACATACACACACATACATACATGCACATACATGCACGCACATACATACATACAAGGACAGCCACGCACACATACATACACATACATACACACACACACACACACACACACACCCTCCCCTGCCCCTCCACCCCACACATACGCACTGGATGCTCTGCGGGTCGTTGCCAAAGACGGGCATCCCCGTTGATCCATATGCGGCCGAGGAGCCAAGCCCTTGCATGCTGGTGGCGTGTGCCATCCCTTGGCCGTGGATACCGTACAACGCTTGGTGGTGGGGCATGGACGGCGACCCAACGACGTCAGCGCCGTGCCACGACGACGCACCCGGGTCTGTCTCGTATGGGCCCGCGTAGCCCGCTTGTGCGGTGTGTGGTGCAGCGTGATGGTGATGATGGTGGCGCTGCTGCTGCTGCTGCTGTTGCATCATCATCATTTGCTGGTGTTGGGCGAGTTGGCGTCTGCTCTTGTTCTTACGGCTGCTGTGGCCGTGGCTCTTGCTCATGCGCTTCTCCTTGCTGCTCTTGCGTGCTTTGCGTTCCTGCAGCAACTGTTGCTTCTTCTTCTGTCGCGCGTCAGCATCAAAGAGCGTGTCAATGCCGCCCTCGCCCTCGTCGTTTGCGCTCCCGGTTCTCCGTCCCCCTTTCTTCGCCGAGCGGCCAAGCGACTTCTGGTACTCCCGTTTCTCCCGCTGCGCGTTGAGTGCCCACCGCTCTTGGTCCGTCAGCTGGCGCAGCTTGTCGCCGTGCACACGTGCCCCGCCGCCACCTCCGCCACGGTGGCGCTGTTGTTGTTGTTGTTGTTGTTGTTGTTGTTGTTGCTCGCGCGAGTTGCCGCTGCCGCCGCGCCGCCTATGAGGACGTGACGTGCTGTCAAAGTACGCTTCTGTCGGGTCTGCGGGCGACAGCCGTATGCCCAGCTGCGAGCGTGTCTTTGCTGCATAGTAGCGTACGAGTGCGGAGAGGGTGGGGAACGTCTGCTTCGTGCCGCGAACCGTGAACCCTTTTTTGTTCCGCTCAATATGAAAGTTGGCCAGCGTTCCCTCGGGCGACTTGACCACCAAGCCAAAGCAGTTTCGCTCGCTCTTCACGTCCCTGTGGCCGCGGCAGTCCAAAAACAGGCAAGGAGGCAAGGAGGAAAGGAGGGGGGAGGGGTGCGAGAACAAATGTGTGTGTGTGTGATATATTTATGTGCGCGTGTATGTGTATGTGCGCGCGCGCGCGTGTGTGTGTACAGTGAGTGGGTGTGAACGCACTTGCCTGTTTGCGTGTGCCTGTCTGCAAGTGTGTCGCTTTTCAGCAGCCTCATGACACCACACGACATGCCACCATATACCACCACGCCACGTCATGTCATGCTTGCCTGATGAGGAAGTTGCCAACCCTGCCGTGTTTGAGCATGTCGTCTGCCATTTGGCGGACCTCTGTTCGTGGCATGCCAGAGACAAACCAAGGGGCCATCTCCGTCTCAGGGTCTACAGCCTCATTCTGCACGCTCAGTGTCCGAGCAGAGCTGCTCAAGCTGCATTGTTGCCAAGCAAGGCGCGCACGTTGTTGTTGTTGTTGTTGTTGTTGTTGTTGTTGTTGTTGTTGTTGTTGTTGTTGTTGTTGTTGTTGTTGTTGTTGTTGTTGTTGTTGTTGTTGTTGTTGTTGGTTGTTGGTTGTTGTTGTTGGTTGTTGTTGTTGTTGTTGTTGTTGTTGTATTGCACACTGCGAGTGAGCGCACGTCGCCGTGAAAATGTGATGTGACACAACACGAACAATGGCATGCAGCCAGCAAAGACACATCAGCTGGTTGTCTCTATGTCACCTGCTCAACGACGCAATGGTGCGAGCAGTGGTCAGCGTCATGGCTCCAGTTCAGCAGCAGTCCAAGTGCCAAAGTTTGTTGGTGGAGAAGGTGATGTGACAGGGGGCGACAGTAAAAATCGTAAAAAGCAACGGCTATTCGCGATTGAGTCCATGAAATTCTGCTCCTCGAGATCTCTTGAATGGCGGGGTTTTCGTGCTTGGGGTTTGCTCGACTAGTGGTGTGTGTGGTTTGTGGGAACAACTGTGTACTGGGGGGTAAACAGCAGGCAAGAACTTGACCGCAAGCATTGAGACAGCACACAAACGCCCTGTTGGACTCTACTGCTCATGTCCGCTGTCTCTCTCCGCTGCAGCTGCTCAAATTGCAGCCTCTCCACTATCATCACCACGTTCGTCAACACCTTCTCCATCACAGTCGTCGTCTGAGTCCTCATCGCTAACGATCTCAGCTGTCTCATCACGATCAAACACTGCGGTCTCCCCAAGGATTGTTGACATCAACCCATCAATCAAGCTGTCCATGTTCCCTGGCTGTTGCTGTTGCTGCTGCTGTTGCTGCTGCTGTGGTTGTGGCTGTGGTTGTGGTTGTGGCTGTGGTTGTGGTTGTGGTTGTGGTTGTGGTTGTGGTTGTGGTTGTGGTTGTGGTAGCTTGTCAGGGCAGGTTCTGCGAGTGTGACCGGGCTGTCGGCACACCGAGCATAGCCGCTCCTTCTTCTTCTTCTTCTGCTGCTGCTGCTGTTGTTGTTGTTGTTGTTGTTGTTGTTGTTGTTGTTGTTGTTGTTGTTGTTGTTGCTGCTGCTGCTGCTGCTGCCGTGCATCTGATTGAAAGGCGCACGCCCGCTTCCAATGCTCAGCAATGGCGCGATCTGTGCGGTCGATGATTGCTTGAATGAGGGTTCGTCCTCCTCGCTTGTGGTGCCCACGGTCTTCCGACAGCTCAACGATCTCTGCTCGCAGTCGCTCGCCGACTTCCTTAAACTTCGTTCCTTTGGAATACTGACGGGCAATGCGGTTCTTGATGTAGGCCCAAACAAGTTCGATGGGTTGCAAGTCGGAGTAGCGCGGTGGTGTAAACACAACAGTGTGCCCCTGTTCCTCAGCCAGCGCAACAAGCTCAGGCTTCACGTGTGCCTTGAGCCAGTCCCGCGCCATCCTCCTCAGCGTATCGCAATGATGTACGCGGGAAGCCAAAGGAACCCGAGCCATTTGTCGCTGATGAGAAGAGAGGCCATCTGGATCTGTGGATGTGGTAGAAAGGAAGCTGTGGTTGCCACTCTGGTCGCTAGCACTGTCTCCGTCGTCGTCCCCACCATCAGCCTGCGTGCTCGCTTGCGCTGTGACCTTGTTGGGATCAGGGGACAACAGAAAAGCGAGCAGTTGTGCTTTCTTCATCGTGTTGGGGTCTGGTGTCTTGGGTGGGTAGCCCTTGTGGTAAGCCGCGTTGTCCATGATGATCAGTGAGGGCTGCTTCAGGTTGGGGAGAAGCTGGTACTTCCACCACTTCTTGAAGTTGGTTTTGTTGAACACCTTGTGATAGTCGCCTACGTGAGGGTTGCTGATCTTGCCCTTCGAGGTCCGCTTGCCTTTTGGCGTGTCTGTCTTCGATGCTGCATCTGAAGAAGCAGCAGCTGTCTCGGTTGTGGTCTGCTTGGACTGGTCCCGCTTCTCCTTGCGTGCTCCAGCGGATGGATCGAAGACCCACTCTGTACCCGGGACAACACCCGCAAGATGCGCCCACCCATCTGATGCGTCTGCTTCGCCAGCTACCACACGAGGGTCACTGTTCTGGATGGCGAGGCAAAAGCAGTAGCGCCTGCCGTCCTTAATCTTCTTTTGGCCAATGTTTGCGTGGTGGACGGGATGCATCAGAGAATGCGTCGTGAAGTTGTGGGTGCAGTTCACGTATGATTCGTCAAGATACACCTTGACAACAGAAGACACAAAGCAACAAGGCGTCGGATGCGTGCGCACATGAGTGAATGCCTTTCAACGTGTGTGCGTGTGTGTGTGTATGTGCGTGCGTGCGTGTGTGTGTGTGTGTGTGTGTGTGCGCGCATTCATGGTGTGGCGAACGAGAACGCACGGCAGCGGGTCTTACCTCGCGCAGCTGTTGCTCTGGTGGAAGCTTCCGATTATCCAGGAGAACCTTGAGGTAGTTTGTCAGCCACTCGAGCACGTGGGTGCTTGGGCGTGCTGCTTCGTCTGAACGGCCAGTCTTTCCTCTGATGTACCCGGCGCGCACGAGGAAGCGTTGTGTCGCACGCTTGGCGCTGGCGAGAGCCTTCTCGTCGTCATCACCCGTGACGATATCCTTTACCACCTTCACAATCGCCCTCTTGCGGAGCATGTCGAGAACCTCTGTTGCAGTGACGATTGTGTGCTCGGTCCTTCGGTCCGTCACAAAGTCGCGCACAAGCCGCAGAGTCTCGTTGGTACAGGGGATGCGCGTGTGCTTCGTGTGCTGGCCTCGCTTGCTGCCTTGGCCATCCAGTATGTCGTAGGTTCCAGACTTCTTGCATCGGTTCCAAGCCGCGATGACCTCGTTCACAGTTGAGCGAGACACCCCAAGCAGGTCCGCCACTTCTTGACCGGAATCCTCCTTCGGTTTACGGCCACCCTTTGCTTTGCGTTGTTCTCGGTCGCGTGCCCGATTGTAGCGAACACGTGTGTAACAGTAGACGATCATCCATCTCTCACGGTCCAATAGCGCAGGCTGGCCTCGTTTCTTCTTGAGATTAGTCATATCGGTCAACATCTCGTCCATTGATACATGTCTTGGCGTGCCAATTCTGTCCTTGTAGTCTGGCATGGTCTTCGCACGCTTGCTGCGACGAACAGTGGTGACGGTCTCATCCTCATCCTCCTCATCCTCCTCTGGCTCATAATCACTGTCGGGCTGAGAGCGGCTCATGACTGGATTCAGTCGGCGATTGACGAAAATCTTTCGACACCCGACCTTGATTGTCTTCGTGTCGGATGTGTGTCGCAGATTCGATCTTGCGACCGGGCTCATCGGATGCCTCGTTTCGAGATCTCTATTTTGAGCACATTTTTGTCAGTTTTCGGTACTGCACCACCCCACAGGCTTCCTTTTCACTGGTTTGAAGTGTCGCCCCCTGTGATGTGAGACTCAGGGGGAACACGATGGACAAGCCGAAGGGTGGGTGTGTCGGTTGCAGCAGCGGCGTTTGGCAAAACAATACACGACACCATGAAATGTATTTACACACGAAAAGCCATCGAAGATACAGCTCAATTTTCACCAACGACGATTTCTGATAAATATCTTCAGTTATTTTTCGTTGGCGCCAATCCCGCTGACACACAACTCGTGCTGCCATCAGCCATCAGCTCACATCGGATCCAGCCATCAACCATGTCTGACGCCCCAGGTACATGAACCACGGCCGCTATGCTGTGTGAACACACACACACACACACACACACACACACACACACACACACACACACACACACACACACACACACACACACACACACACACACACACACACACTATCTCTCTCTCTCTCTGTGCCCATGTGATTTCCCCATTTTGGCGTCAAGATGTCGTTGTCGTTGCTGTTGCTGTGGAACATGCATTTACGTTGTGATGTGAATTTGGTGGTTGTCGTCGACCACCATGAGATGGAGTCGAGTCCCGCTCAACGTGATTATTCGCATCATGTCGGTGTTGTTCATGTATCCTGCAGACCTCTCGTCTGTGACGAGCCAGATTCTCAGCAACCCGGAGCTCCTCGCTGCGCTCACGGTACAACGTTGTGGTGTGTGGAACGAATTGCGCGGCTCCGCCAGAACGTTGCATCCTCGCTCGCCCCCCCCCCTTTTTTTTCGGCCGCCATCACCCGCTCATGTTGCTGTGCGCTCGCCACCGCTGCTGTGTTGCGTGTGTTGTGGTGTTGCTTGTGGTTGTGTAGGGCCAGCTGAATGATCTCGTTGGCACGACCTCGGGGCTCATTGAGTCCCTGCCAGAGCCCGTGAAGCGCAGGCTGCTGGCGCTGAAGAAGCTGCAGCGTGAACACCTCAAGGTGGAGCTGGAGTACCACGCCGCCATTGCCCGCGTCGACGAGGAGTTTGCACAGCGTTTCAAGCCCCTCTACGATAAGGTTAAACCGTGTGGCTGTGTTGTGTGCTTCTGATGCGTGCGAGGTTGTGTGTGTGTGTGTGTGTGTGCATGAGTCTGATCTGTGTGCGTGTGTGTGCGTGTGTGTGTGTGCGTGTGTGTCTGTCTGTCCGTCCGTCCGTCCGTCCGTGTGTCTGTCTGTCCGTCTATCCGTCCGTCCGTCTGTCCGTCCGTGTGTCCGTCCGTCCATCCGTCCGTGTGTCTGTCTGTCCGTCTATCCGTCTGTCTATGTGGTTCGCTCCCCCGGCGGTATTGATTTCCTTCATGTCATCGCACACCCACGGTCCCCCAACTCACGCTCCCTTCCTCACACGCACACCATCCGTTGCAGCGCACACAAATTGTGTCGGGCGAGTATGAGCCAAAGGACGATGAGCTGGACCACGCGCCGCTGGTGCCGCGGGCCGAAGACGATGAGGATGACGAGGATGAGGATGACGACGAGGGCGAGGGCGAGGAGGAAGAGGAGGGCGCCAAGGAGGGTGGGGACACGGCCAGCGACGCGGCGACAACAGACGGCACAGAGAAGAAGAAGCCCAAGGAGGGTGACGACACAAAGCCAGAGGCAGGCGCAGACACAGAAGCAGAGGCGAAGGAAGGTGACGAGGATGAGGAAAGCGCTGGCGAGGACATCAAGGGCGTTCCAGACTTTTGGCTCACCGCCCTCAGCAATCACGAGCTCATCTCGGAGGTGCGCCTGTGCGTCTGCGTGCGTGCTTGAGTGTGCGTGCGTTGTGTGTGTCGCGTCTGCATGAATGTGTGTGTATGTACATGTGTGCGTGTTTGTGTTTGTGTGTGCTTGTGTGCGTCTTTTGCATCGGTACGGGTGTGCGCGTGCGTGTATTCATGCACCTGAATGGGCGCACCTGTTTTGTTTTCCACGATCGCCGTGGGTCATGTCTCCGTCCACCCCATGCTCACACTCTTTCTCGACGCCCAACGTTCGCCCACCCCCGCCTCCCTACTCGCCCCCTTCTTCCTATCCAACGCAGCTGATCCAACAAGACGACCAGGAAGTGCTTGCACACCTGCGTGACATCCGCTACAAGTATCTTCCCGACAACACGGGCTTTGAGCTGACGTTTGTGTTTGGCGAGAACCCGTTCTTCACCAACACGGAGCTCACCAAGACGTACCACCTCGACCCAAAGCCGGAGTCTGAGGACGATCTCGTCTACCAGGGGCCAATCTTCCAAAAGGCCGTGGGGTGCGTTCAAGCGCTGTTGTTACAATGTGTGTTCTGTGCTGTGCTGTGCTGCGTTGCGGTGTGTGTTGTGCTGTTTCGTGCGTGTTTGAGATTGTCAACTGTGTTGGTCAGCTATGTTCGCACTTTGGCCACGCTCGCCTGCCTCCTTTTGAACAGCACATTCACATTCCTACCCCCCCCTTCTCTCTCTCTCTCTCTCTCGCTTTTGCTGACTGTGCAGCACCCAGATCAAGTGGAAGGAGGACAAAGACGTCACCGTCAAAGTTGTCAAGCAGAAGCAGCGCAAGTCACGTGAGTACCCCGCAAACTTCCTTGTTGCCGCACACACACACATGGACAAGACGCCACTTTTTCCAAACAACCTTTCCCCTCACTGGTTGTCGTGGTCATGCACGCTCTCGCACACACACACACACACACACAAACACACACAAACACACACACACACACACACACACACACACACACACACACACACACACACACACACACACACACTATTCAGGCGGGCGCAATGCCGGGCAGGTGCGGACGGTGATGAAGAAACTGCCGCGGCCGTCGTTCTTCAACTTCTTTTCGCCGCCGCAGGTCGATCCAAACGAAGAGACGCCAGAGGTCATCCAGGCCGCAACACAGGTCCTCAACCAGGACTACGAGGTCAGCCCCGCACGTGTTGCGCACGCCCTGCTCTATACCGAGATGGCAGTTGGCGTGATGTGTGTGCATGCTGTGTGTTGTGCGCCTTGTCGTGAGTACGCTTGAATCTGCAGGTTAAGCACATCTCGTGCACACACCGTCTCATCCAGGGAATCACAACCACCACCACCACCACCACCACCACACCCTCCCTTCCACGACCACCACGACAACGCTTCGCCCCATTTTACAGATTGGAGAGATTATCCGGGACTCGATCATCCCGCAGGCGGTGCTGTGGTTCACGGGCGAAGCGATGGACTACGAGGGCATGGACAGCGACATGGAGGAAGAGGAGGAGGAAGAGGAGGAAGACGGCGGTGATGAGGACCTCGACATGCTGCTCCACGGGCAGGGCGGCGACGACGACGATGACCAGGAGGAGGCAATGGGCAGCGGTGGGCGCGGGGCAGCGCGTCGCAAGCAGCGCCACCCAAAGCGCCGCGCAGCCGCTGAGGACGAGGACGAGGACGAGGACGAGGATGAGGAGGAGGTGTGTGTGTGTTGTGTGGATTTGTGTGTTTGTTCGGATGTGTGTTTGTGTGTCTCTGTGGATGGATGCGTTTGTACGACGAGATGTATTGTTGCTCTCATACCATCTATCACACACCAATGAACGTGGTCGCTCATCCTTGCCACCGCATACGCATGTGCTCGTGTGTGTGTGTGTATGTGTGTGTGTCTTTTGCGCAGGATGCGGACTGGAAGCCGTCGGGCGAGAAGCCGCCAGAGTGCAAGCAGTCGTAGATGCGTGCAGAAGTGCACCCGTTGTATGTCGAGATGCCCAACCATGCGCAAAGTGTTGTGTGTGCTGTATGTGCGTGACCTCAAGAATCCTTGCGTGCGTGCGCGTGTTCCGTCTCAATTGACGCTTCCATAACCGTGGTGGTTTCCCCATTTCCTTCCCTTGCTTCGTGTGCTGTCGAGTAAACCACACGAGCAACCGAGTCATAAAGTTTCCGGTCCATGCACCTCTTTGATGTCCAAAGCAGGGGTTGTTTAATTCGAGGGAGGGAATGAGTGGAGCGCATCATGTACTCACAACAACAAGAAGACTTGAGGCCCACGTGTGTAACGGCACAACCATCAAACATCTCTTCAAATATCTCTCTTCGCCCATCCCCACCCCCCCCCCACACATACACATCCAGTACAGTCATTACCGGGCCTTCAACTCCCCCCCCCCACCCTCGCTCCTTCCCTCGGGCTCCTCTCCACGAGCGCTGCCGTCTCTCATCAGGCGCGTGTCGGGTCGAGGTGGAGGTATTCCGCAGCAAACGCGCGCACAATGAGGATCCAGTTGAGCATGACGTCATCGTCAAGGATGGTTGCATCATCGCCCGCCGTGTGCCACTCGCGCGGGAAGGGCACCGTGATGAGATGCAGGACAGGGACGCCGCGACGAACAAACGGAATGTGGTCGTCCTCCACCGCTGGCGCCCTGCAGCGTTGATGAGGGAGGAGCAAGAGAAGAGTGAGAGAGTGAGTGTGTGGGGGGGGGGGAGGTGTGATGTGATGTGTGTGTGTGTGTGTGTGATTGTGTGTGTGATTGTGTGTGTGTATGATGTGATGTGACGTGTGTGTGTGTGATGTGTGTGCGTGTGTGATGTGTGATGTGACGTGTGTGTGTGTGATGTGATGTGTGATGTGATGTGTGATGTGATGTGTGATGTGATGTGTGTGTGTATGTGTGTGGGGCGGGGGAGTTAGGGCATGATGCACGCGATACGTGTGCGCGCGCGCGTGTGTGTGTCACAGGATGTGTCTCTCCACTGGCGCGCACCGTCCAGCGTAGTTGGTGTTGAAGAAGGAGCTTGGCTGTCGTGTGATGAGGTCGAGCGACACCAGGCGCTGCTCCATCGTGGCCATTCGCCGGTGCAGGAAGTGCGTATTGGGGAAGGCGCTGATGTGGTGCAAGGAGTGGTGTGAGAAAGGGACACGTAATGCAGTAAGGCGTGACGATGACAGGCAGACAGACAGATATACAGACACACACAGACACACACAGACACACACAGACACACACAGACACACACAGACACAGACACACACACAGACACAGACACACACACACACCTGTGGATGGTGGGGTTCTTTGCGCCAAGGAGGTCGAGGAGAACAAGACACTCGATCGACTCGAGCATGGTCGGGGAGCGGCGGCCTTTGCCTGCATGCACGCGCGTCGCCGCCCACTTGCTGGCGAGGTGGCGCGCACCGTAGATGGAGTCCTTGGCCGTCCTGGCACCAGAGCGACAAAATGACAATGACGTGACAGGAAAAGGTGGCAAGGATGGGAAGGAGCGCGCACCACAAGCAGTGCCACACCGATGACGAACACAGCGCAAAAGCAAGCACACCCCAACACAGACAGACAGACAGACATACACACACACACACACACACACACACACACACACACACCAGTTCTCAAATGCCTCTTCGCCGTCAAAGAAGACGAGTTGAGGGGTGGTGCCGAGGGCGCGCGTGCGTGTGCGCAGCAGTGGCGTGAGGGATCGTGCAAGATCGAGCAATATCGCACACGGAACGGCCGAATCGATTGCGCCGATGAAATTCTTCTGCTCATAAAACACCCGGGTGGGGGGGGGTTTGGCACGATGAGTGACGCATAAGAGCAATAGTTCGGTTGTACATTGATAGAACACACACAAACACACAGACACACAGGCACAGACTCACGCAGACACACACAGACATAGACACACACACCCACAAACAACTCACGTGCGGCCCCTTGAGGAAGAGCTTGCTCTCGTAGTGCGCAGCGAAGATGACGCGTTGGCGGGCGCTCGGATCCCATGTCGCAACTGCACCGAAATTGACGAGGGCGGCGGCGGCAGACAAGAAATGCGTCATGCAGAGCAGATACAGGTATGGACCAGAGAAGGAGAGTGTTGAGACATGTTGAGAACAACGGAAACCGCAAGGTGCTCGTGCATCGCATTCCCTGTCTACACGCACACACACAGACACGCAACACTGACTGATATTGTGGAAGGTCTTGCGGCCGAGTGGGGTGGAGTCTGTGAACGTGTCTGTTTCCACGTGCCATCCAAGCGACTCCAGCGTCGTGCGGATGTGCTGAGAATGATGGTTGGAGAGCAAGCAAAATGAAAAGGGGCGTTAAACGAATCCACAAGCAACAGCAGTGTCGGTGGTGGTGGTGGTGGTGGTGGTGGTGGTGGCGTAGGTAGGAAACAATCACAACAGTCACAACCAACCACGCGATCACAACAACCACACGCACGCACGCGATCACAACAACCACACGCACACACATACATACACACACACGAACTCATAATCACAGACAGTCACAGTCACACTCACTTGTCTTGCTTTCTTGTGGTTCTCTGATCCCACGGGACGCACGACCATGAGCGGTTCCAGGAGCTCGTTCTTGAAGTACCGCATGGATGTGTCCTTTGACAACGCAATGAGCTGCTCGTCACTTAGTGTCCACGCCTTGCCCTGCGAACGCGTTGCGGTGTTGGGTTGTTTCGTGTGAGCAACCGAGGTGGACAGAAGTGCATTCAAACATCCATGTCAATCGCAGACAACAAGAGGAGGAGGAGGAGGAGGAGGAGGAGGAGGAGGACCGTGTGCATGAAGGTGTTCACGTGTACACACATAGCAGCAAAGCAGTCACAACCAGAAAACTGACAGAGGCCGTGGATACGTCGCGATCAGAGCTTGTGGCCAGGTGCTGGTAGAAGAGGAACATCACAAACACTGCCAGGCAAGAGCCGCCAGCCATCAGCAGCCACGTTGTCTTGGACCGGGTCTGCAGCGACCTCTTCTTGCCACTCCTTGAGCCCGTCAACAAGGAAACGTGCAACCATACATGAAGGAAAGAAGATTAGTCGCAAGCAATGCTGTCGTCAGCAAACAGAAAACACAGGCAGAGACAGAGAGACAGACAGAGAGACAGACAGAGAAACAGACAGAGAGAGACAGAGAGACAGACAGAGACAGACAGAGAGACAGAGACAGGCAGAGAGATAGACAGAGAGACAGAGAGACAGGCAGAGAGATAGACAAAGAGACAGACACACACACACACACACCGCCCCCCCCCAGACACACACCTTGGCTTGCGTGATCCCAGGCCTCCCACCTTGACCATGCCCCCTTCTGCACCGCCACCTCCTCCACCGCCAGTGCGCCTCTTCTTCGTCATCACTGTCGTCCCTGTTGTAGATAGTTGATTGAAATCATTCACCAAGTTTCCAAATCCGCAAGGCAAGCAAGCGAGGAAGCAGCAACCGAGTGCACCGACACCACCACTGACACGATGGACCAAGTGATGGATGCAGCGGGCAAGGGCGTCGCCGCCGGTGCGTCAGCTTGCTTGTTGAACGTGGAGAACGCGGTGAAGGGCATTGTACACTGTGTATTGTACACTGTGCGTTGTTCACTGTGCGTTGTACTTTGTACGTTACACAGTATCATTGCTTGCAACTGACACACATAGTGCTGCTACACAACCACACGCATGGTCGTCACCTTCAGGCGCGACGTGGGGTGCCATTGTCTCTGCGTGGGAAGCCCAGCCCGTGATGGGTGAGCGAACGGGCGCCCTCGTCTTCTCCACGACACGAACCATTGCCACACACGCTGGCCGTTTCGGTGAGTGTCTTGCTGCTTTTTGGTTTGCACGGCATGAAAGTACCAAACTGTTCTGTGCCGTCCAAGTCGTTGTCGTGGTTCCGGATGTTGGGATTGTGGTGCAGAGTGAAGACGCCTGTCCTCGTGACTTGGGCATGTCGCGTGATTGTTCTGCACCCTGCGCATTGTGACGGGAATCTTTCTCTTTTTGCTTTGTGTTAGGTCTGTTTGCCGCCATCTTCGCCGCGTCCAAGGCTACATCAGAGGGGGTATGTGGCGTGAATGCAGATATGTTTGTGTGCTGCACGAACGTGTGTAGAATGTCACTCCTATGTACCACGTTTGCGGTATTTAATTCACCGTGTCCTTTTGTTGTTATTTGCTGCTGGTTTGCTTGTTCACAGGTTCGCGGAACCGAGGACCCCATGAACAGCTTCGTTGGTGGCTGTGTTGCAGGCGGAATTGCCGGCGCATACGGTGTGTGTGTGTGTGTGTGTGTGTGTGTGTGTGTGTGTGTGTGTGTGTGTGTGTGTGTGTGTGTGTGTGTGTGTGTGTGTGTGTGTGT